ATATAAATCACATGTTATGCGTTTGGAGTGATATAAAAAATAGAAAATGATTATTTTTTATTATATAATTAATAAAAAAAATAAAATATGCACAAATTTAATCACTAACCTCACTAATATTATTTTACTTAATTTATGTAAGTTCTGTATTATTTATCAGGAGGAATTCTTCCCTACGCATGGATATTACTGTCGGTGATATTATCGTTTACTATCGTGGCAATGTATTAGCATATATATATATATATAAGAATACTGCTGGTGTAGTATATCTGAAAAAATTTCTCCCCTTAAAGATGCTATAAGACTTCTATTTTGTGTATCTTTTGCACAAATATTGTACTTTGTATGTTTATATGGCTATCAATTCACTATAAAACTAACAATTTGATACTGTTAATGATTTAATTAATTTAAAAGTAATTTCTTTTTAATAAAATAAAAAATATTAAAAATTAGATGTTATATAAATAAAATGAGTTAAAAAATAAAAAAATTATTTTATATTGTGTAATTCAAGATAAAAAATTAAAAAAAAATGAAAAAGGAAAACAATTTGATACTCCTATCAAACGAAACATTGGTATCCATTATTACAAGCTTGTTGCACCTGTGATGCGATGCGGGGAGTTGTATCATTATGAATTACTATACTATAATGACAATTAGTGATGTCTAAATGATCATTTGTGAGAAAAACTGTTACTAATAGATATGGGCAAGAATCAATCATCGAGATGCATTGACGGCTCTCATCTTCTCCTTTAATTTCTTCGACATAGGACCTTAATTTTAACAATTCATCAAGCTGCAAGGAAAAGTCTGTAAGGAATCCTATTATCCTAATTCTCATGAAAATTCTTTTCATGTCTCGGTAACAAGAAGGCAAACATCCACTGACTTTTTCTTTTTGGTCGAAAGTAGAGAATGTGCAAAGTCTTTACTCCTTACCAATCTATTATTTTGATTGAATACTAACAAATCTTCAATCAGTTTAATATGATACAGAGTGTATGAATGCCCTTTTTTTTAAAAAAAGATAGGCAAATGTTTGTGAAGCCTGAAATTGATTACAATTGGTACTAGTTGGCCCTGGACATGTTCTTCGGGAATTTTGCTTGCAAAAGTAGTTATTTTTTATTATTTCTTATTGTAAATAGATTTGGAGCACTCTTAAAATTTTATGTTCATAATATTTGATTTTTTTTAATAAAAAATTATATAAAATAATACTTTTTTAACATCTAAGGCATCTTTGACCAATATTTACACATTTTGATTTTTAAGATAAATTCTTACTTGGGCCATTTTAAAGACACATAACATTGGTCTGGAGAACTTTTTTTCAAAAAAACCAAATGAACAATCAAATAATGGTATAAATTACCGACAGTGCGTATCATTACAGAGAAAATTACGAATAGGAACATTTTTCTTTTCCCCTGCCTTTCTTAGTTCTCTATTAGAGGAAACAGAAGCAAACCAAAACCAAATAAACCAGAAGAAACAAAACGGCAGTACAATCGACATGTCCTTTCAACCTCCAAGTTGCAGCCAAACTAGGATCAGAAAGATCATGAGGACTATATATCCTCGTAACAATAACAAATTTAAAATATAAAGTACTTCCGGCAGGGACTAGCACATCTATTAAAGTTCCTGCAAAAATAAATTTAAAAAAATCAATGAATGAGATGCACCCCTTTGTCTTATCATAACTATCCTGTCCTTATATGACCTTTATCAAATTATAGCTAAAAAAGAGATAGGAAAATAATATTGAAAATATTTCAAGCTTTCAATAATGGATTGGATAATTAAAATTAAGAGATGATAATAGAGTTAAGTTAAAATAAAATATTTATTTTTATTAAAAAATAAATGATAAAAAAATGATTGAGAGACAACTTATACAACTTTTTCATAAAATTTTATATGTTAATTAATGATTGATTTCTTTTATTTTATTGAGACTCATAATATTGTATACTTCCATTTATATGTATACTTCCATTTATATGTAAAAGTTGTGTAGGAAGATTGTACAAAAATAGTTTTTATATGATCATGACCCAAAATAAAAAACAATGAGATAAATTTTGAGCCAAATAGTGACAGTTAATTATTTTGGGACAAGCAATAAAAGAATTTGAAAATTGTATATATATCTGTGTGTGTGTGGGGGGGGGGGGGGAGAAATGGAAGGAGGCATCCATAGTACTGAACTGAAAATAGCTAGCAATCAAATTGAGATTATGAGATCATATTACATACCTTCGATTATTAATGATGAATAGGTGGATCGACCACTGGAGAGGGAGGCGTTATTTTCAGAGGGTTTGCCTTATCAACAAAGATAGTTTGATTCTGTGGTTCTTGGTTGATGGCTACTGCAAGAATAAATAGCATCATGATAGCAACTATGAAGAGGAAAGGAATGAAGAAATGTTTGTTTGGAGGAGCCATATCTATGGTAGATTAAGCACAGGAAAGCTGTATGGATCGGATTTCCTTGCACGTATATATAGAGGAAGTTAGAGAAGGAAGGCGTAGGGTCCATGGTGGATTGCACTAATTAAGGAGATAATTAAGAGTCTTAAAAACTAATCTCCATCCGGACTGACAAGTTTAGTATTAGCGAGTGGGTCCTGTCCTGGATCAAGCATATATACGGAGTGATTGATTGTGAAAATAAATGAGTAGCAGTAGTAGTAGAGATTTTCCATTGCTTTAAAACGAGATCATGAAATTGCTTTAAAATGAGATTATGAAAATAAATGAGTAGCACTAATCTCCATCCAGAGCGACAAGTTTAGTGTCAAGGGAGTGGGTCCACTCTTGGATCAACCATACCGAATGACTTGATTACGAAAATAAATGAGTAATGGTAGAGATTTTTGGCATTCAGTAACATTTTCCACTGCTTTGAAATTTTCCATTGCTTTGAAATGAGATTATGAAAATAAATGAGTAGTAGTAGTAGTAGAGATTATTCATTGCTTTAAAATGAGATCATGAAATTGCTTTGAAATGAGGTTATGAAAATAAATGAGTAGTAGAAGTCATTTTCCATTGCTCTGAAATAAGATTAGGAGTGGTAGTAGTCATTTTCTATTGCTCTGAAACAAGATTATGTGTAGTAATAATAAGATTAGGAATAATGGTAGAAGTCATTTTCCATTGCTCTGAAATAAGATGATGTGTAGTAGTAAGATTAGGAATAGTAGTAGAAGTCATTTTCCATTGCTCTGAAATAAGATTAGGAGTAGTAGTAGTCATTTTCAATTGCTCTGAAATAAGATTAGGAGTGGTAGTAGTCATTTTCTATTGCTCTGAAATAAGATTATGTGTAGTAGTAATAAGATTAGGAATAGTGGTAGAAGTCATTTTCCATTGCTCTGAAATAAGATGATGTG